GGGCAGGACCCAGCACTTGGCCTTGTTAAACCTCATACAGCAGTTGGCCTCGGCCCATTAGTGCAGCCTGTCCAGGTGCCTCTGCAGGGCCATCCTACCCTCCAGCAGATCGACACTCCCACCCAATTTGGTGTTGTCTGCAAACTTACTGAGGGCACACTCGATCCCCTCATCCAGATCATTGATAAAGATATTGAACAAGACTGGCCCTAAAACAGAGCAAACAAAGCAACCCAGAAAGACTGTAAGACTTACTTTCATCATCTGAATCGAATCCAAAGAGCGTCTGACACTTCTTTTGTGCAAGGTGAGCCTCAAGTGCTTCTGAATTACAGTAGATGGTCAAGCAGTTGCCACATCTAAATCTTTCTGTTGATTTGCTACAAAATTTATCTTGTTCAGAATGAGCATCTACTTTATCAGTCAAAATTTTTCTACGTTTTGGCATGCTAATGTATCGTTCATCAAGATAACTTGGAGGCAATGGTCTCACATACGGTTTTGTTAAGATGACACCATATGAAGTATTCTCTGTTGTCTGATTTGGTTTAGAAGGTAATTGTGAGGCAGCAGCATTATTTTGTGGTGTATCATGACAATTCTGTAAAACTGGTAACACTGACCCATTTTCTGTCCTTGTTTCATCTGCCACTCTGTCCAAAGGTATTTCTGATGACTTTGATGATGTCTGATCTAGGTCACTGTGCCCATTGACTAGTTGGTCACTAACAACATTACAGTTTTCAGAATTTGGCTGTAACACGGGTGTCTTTTGGTCTATCAAACTTAAAACTGTAGCACTACTCTCGGATGAACTTTCATTTCCATTATGAATTACATTATTTGCTTTCTTCTCAACACTTTGAATATATGTCTTTGGTTCTGTAGAATCCTTCCTTGACTTCCAAGTTGGAATTGGTAAATCTACAGTTTCTTTTTCATTAATAGATTCATCATCATCTTGGTAACTACAAAGTTCGGAAGGATCATCTGAAGAATCTTTTTCACTTGCATCTTCTGAACATTCTGATGTTTTATTTAAATAATGCTGAGCCTCATGTTCATACAGCAAAGGGAGCTCCTCAAATAGCTCACAGCACTCTGCAAAATTGCATTGAGCTTTAAAAACACTATGACTTTTTGTATGTTCTGCAAGCTCAGTTGACAGCTTAAATCTCTGATTACAATTAAAGTGTAAACAAAAGTAAACATTTGGATACACATGTCTCTTCAGGTGGTCTATAAAATGTTGGGAATCGGCAAATTTTCTCTGGCAGAACCGGCATTTTCCTTTATTCCATTTCATTATATGCTGCTGCACCTTCAAATCAGTTGGATGAGCTTTTCTTGCATGTTTATTGAGGAATCTTATCTTTTTAAATACTCTAGCACAACCATTAGCAGGGCACTTAAAGCTTCCTTCCTCATCCATAGCATCAATGTCTCTTTGAAGGCAAAAAGCTCCATTCACTTTATGCAGAATAGGTGACTCTTTACTGGAGCTCTCATCATCTTCAGGCAAGCTTTCTGTACTTAAAGCATCAGGAACATTATTAAAACAGCTGTCACTACTATTTTCAGTAGCATCATCCTGGTCACTTAGATGGTTTTCCACCGCATCAAACACGTGTTCTGCATTCTCCTCCTCCACTTGGACCACTTGGTCAGCACTTGGAGCTATTGCAGTCTCTGGTTCATTATCTTTAGAACCATCAGAATTCCCATTTTCAAGAGACAGAGAAACATCAGAACATTCTAGTTCATTATGAGCAGGAGCCTGCTGACCAGCCTCAAGGACTGCAGCAAGATGTTGCCTTTCTATCTTCCTGACATGATTCTTTAAGTGCTTCAGCATAAGTCCTTTTTGCCTGAACTTTCTGGTGCAAAGTACACAGGAAAAACTGCCCTTTTTTTGGTGAGCTTGTGCATGTTTCACAATGTGACCACCAAGAAATTCCTTGTTGCATATCACACAGCGGTGCCTTGGTACAGTTTGATCTAACATTTTAGATGCCTCAAGAGCTTCATGGTTCTTTTTGGCATTAACTTTGGACTGGGCTTCAGAGAGGTCTTCAGGGTCAAGCTCCCCATTGCTTACATCTGTTAAACAGACACGTTCCTCACTCAGAGCCCTATACTCTGTTATCTTCTCTGTATTTGCAGTAGAATTTTCCAGTGTACTTTCACTTAAGCCAATGAAGGCTTTATCCCCCAATAATGCTAAACAATTTTGCTTGATCATCAAGAAATTCCAAAACTCAGGATCAAAAAACAAACCTTTTTTCAAAATTGGAAGCAATTCAAAACGTACACGGTTTTGAACAGAACTAGTGCACTCATTATATTCTTCATCTGCACATTTATATAAGTGTTCAACAGTGTAGTAAGATTCCAAGGTGCGCTCAAGAAAAAAGATTGAAAGAGCACAAATTCTGAGGATCTCCAAGTCATTTGGCAGAAAATGAGCAATTGCTTTATAAATAAGACTTTTCATGTTGGGATCTTCACGGAGGTCCAACTGTAGGGCACATCCACATATCTCAACACATATCTGAAGACCATCTTCACCAACCTGCAGAAAAGAAATTACAGTGTACATAATTATAGAGTAGGCATAATGGTATTTTCCTTATGGACTTACAGAAGTCTACAGCTTGAAAATAAAATAAAAAAATCAGAGCCATAGGAAAAAAAAAAAAAGAACAAGTATAAACAACACCCAAACATCAACATCCCATGTATTTATATTCATCTACTTGCAAAATAGTTAGGAGTTCAGAAAGCATCCTGCTAGTAAACTTCACCTAAGGGCATGTACATTTTAAAATAAAGCTCAAACAAGACTATAAAATACAGATACAAAAACGCTCAAAAATAACATCTGGTTTGCACTGAAAGCTATACAACTACTGTCAACAAAGCTTCAGAAACTTTTACCACCTGCAGTTCTATAGTTAAAGACAATTAATTATTTGGGGATATAAAACAAGACTGCAGCAAATCATATTGATCTAGCAGTATCTTCTGTCTGCATCTTCGTTGCCTAGGCTGTTTCACACTATAATTGGACAGTTACTCTATATTTTGTCCCTGTTCTAACTCATTTAACTTGCATTGCATAAAAATACAAGCTATAAAATATTGCCCTCAATTTTGAAAAATAACCATCAAGGAAAACATAACAACCCATGGCCAAGCATTCTAAAAGGCTTGACTTTTCAGAATTGACAAACTATCCTTCCAATGAGCAGAATTCTTATTCCACACTTTAGGCTGTGGGCCCTGCCGTGAACATGTAATTTGGAGGGACGATCAGAAACATACTGCCCAACAGGTAGCAGATTAAAGTAAGAAGAGTTTCAGGAAGTTTAGAAATAATTAATACCTACCTATATTTAATTGTGTGTTAACAAATACATACAATGCTCCATATGTAGTAGGTTATTAAAAAATATGATCATTCAGATGTGAATACAAATAGAAGTTATTCATGTCACCAGAAGTAATTTAGAATACATACTGAGATTAAAATCTTGAACAGCAGCAAATCACTGCATTTAGAACTGTACAGCAGCACCCGTGACAAAATAATTTACAATTCGTTTAGGGCACAGAATATGAAGGAGCTCTGTTCAGTCAGGTTAATCAAAGAACAACATTTGTTTGGAAACAACTCGCACTCCTGTGTGCAAAGCGTTGCACTTAACATCTTTTGCAGATGTTTGTATGGGACAGTATAATACTAATATCTGAAGCATGAAACACAGCGCGCTTTTCTGAAGCAAAATTGTGTCTTCTCCTATCTTAGTCTAGCTTTCCCTTTATGTTACATTAAGCACTTCTTCAGATTTGATTAGAACTGGTGAAAGGATTCTAAACTTAACAAGGGTGAAAGATGGATACAATGGCATTACACAAGTCCTATTTCCTTTAGAAGTCAGGCTGAAAAAAAACCCAACGGATGCATCTTTCGCATTTACACCATGTATTTATTATTAATTTCCGCATTTATTTATAGAGCATGGCATTCCTCAAACTTATTACAGACAGAAAGAAAAAACTCAGAATTCAGTAAAAAAAAAAAAAGTCTTAAAAACACACAACAGATCAAGGGCAATCATAAAATTGAAGCACATTGTGGAACTTGACAAAATTTTTAAGTTAATATTATGTCCTTCCCTGCCCCCCCTTAACTTTCCAAGTGGCCATTACACAATATAAACATCATTTCTCTTTACTTTAACTAGTTACAAAAAGAATGGGGGGTGGGGTAAACCAAACAAAACTTACTTCATCCTTAATGACTTTCATGAAAGGGAAAATTACTCTGACATTTGTAGCAATTCTTAAAAGCTGGTAGCATTGGTCGACAAATACTTGTTTTGATGGGTTAGACTTAAGTTGCAGTTTACTCCAAATGAAGATCAGGTCCCTATAAGTACAGAACAAAGTATTTCAATTAGACTGAGTTTTAGAACTCTTCTCACTAAGCATGATGCATTACTAAGATCAACTATTTGCATATTCGTTAACTAAAATCATATTTGAGGGCGTAATACCCATCTAATCAACACCACAACTGTACACAATGTGCACAATGGAAAATGCAACTTAATTACTTTGTTAAAGCATTCAGGGTATCTCCTATCACTGAACCAATTAAATATTCAACAAAATATTAATGTATTCACCTTAGTATCAGAGAACTGCATAATAAAATCAGATGCTACAGCATCTAGCTCTTAACACCACAGGCAATAAATGTCAGGCTGAACAGCAAGCTCTGTGTGTACTCTTGGGACTAAGCTACTTTCAGTGCAAGGATGAGGAGTCCTTCAGGAAAAGAAGCGTTTGAATGTGGGAAATGGAAGCGTTTTACAAAGCTAGCTTCTGACACGGTCCACTGACAGGAAATATTGATGTTCTCCAGTTATGCATATTACAGTACAACTTTCTTTTTTTACTGCTGCCATCCCTGGTCTTTCTAGCCAACAGCAGTTACATGAAAGTGTTAGGCTCTACAGCTATTCATACATCTCTATGATCTTCAGTCAAATAACATTTCTGACTGATACAAGGAAACATAAAAATAGACTGCTAGACTCTGCAGCAGGGCTCCTACACAGGTAATGTGTTTAGTTTGTAAAATAGAGCTAATTGAAATTTACAGCCTGTAATTTCTATGCACTTCAGAGACTCAGAAAGGCAACTGGACTTAACTTTTAGTTCTAAGAAAATTTGCCAGCACAAAGATTTTACACAGAGGTAGATATAGTTAGGACTAGGCAGAAATCCCACCATAACATTACAATGAAAACAGGGGACCAATCGACTTTCATTTTCTGAAGGAAGACACTTTTTTTTCCCCACCAGCCTCCCCCCTCAGAAAACTCAAACCCAGTTACTGACAAAATATTTGGTTGATCTTCCAAAGTCTCTAGTCTGTGTCAAATACAAATCAGACAAACCTTTTGAGATTAAGCTTGTCTAGAGAGGTCAGTGCCTGCATGAAGGGAAGTGACAGAATTGCCTATAACAAAACACCAACTTCGCTTAAATTTAGGACAGCTCTACAATTCTGCTTGACATTTTAAGAGCTAGACAAGAGAGCTTGACTGTTTTCTTTCATTCAGAACCCAAGAACACTGAAGTCGAAAGAAAGATCAAGCTTATATGGGGGAAACTATGAAAAGGGAGTTCTGTAAGCAGCTCTACCCACAAAAAAAATTAGTCATACAGGTTTTCTAAAGATACCAGACATTCACCTCTGCCTTTACCAGGCTGGAAATCTAAATTCTTGAAAGTCTTTGCAAATTTCACATACAGGTTTGAAACTAGTGTCTTCGTGAACCAAGTAATTCATAAAAATTCAGTAAAAGTCTCAACCTGAAGTACAAAAGAACTGAACATTTTTGCTGCTAAATGTTACAGCAGTTAACTAATACAACTTACTCTCTGCTTTGTCTCATACCATTTCAGAGCAAGCCATTTCAACACTAATCCCAGAGAATTTGAGAAAACTCAAATTATTCTTCTGAGAGATTAGTGGTTAAAGTGGCTTGCCATGTGTTCAGAGAAGTGTGACAGTTGACGCAAGGAAAGAGCTGAAAAAGGAATAGAGAAAACTGAAAGTAGAAGTAACAGCTCCACAGGTGAAGAGCAAGCTGTTAAATCAGTTTAACCATCATTTGCCTAGACACTGATGTGAAATAGTATTTGTGTTGTTCCTCCATGTAGACATGGAGGCTTCTCCTTCTCAAGCACCTTTCTGGCTTTGACAATCATTGAGGATTAAAGCATTCTTGCTGACTGGACTCTATTTCAACCACTTAAATGCTCTGGATACCAACTTTAATGCTGAAGTCAGCAGCACTTGACATATTTCTGGGTCACTGACCACAACACAGACACAACAAACTTGAGATAATGTAGGCAGGGGTAGTTTTCTATTTGCTCGATTATTATGGCATAGTAGTATAGTACTTAATGACATTTACTTCTTGGATAGTATAACTTAGTTCACACTGAGGCCTGGGCTTAAACTATTATGGACATGTGTTGGGGCAATTTAAATTGTTACTGTGAGATCACAGAACTCGGTACCTTTTTACCAGAGGCAACCAGGTATTCCAGCTTGCCAACCCCCTACAAAATACCAAATGCATTGCGTGCCTCTATCAGCAATGTAAGAGAATGGTTAAGCCCACCCTACCTTAGCTAGATCTAAAAACTTTTGCTATTGTTGATAAGTAGAAAGTCTATCTTTCCTTGGGTATAGACAGCACACTTTACCAAAATGTTACCCAGTTCACAAAAATTACCTAAAGGCAAAAGACTGATCAAACCTGTGGGAAAAATTCCTTGACTTACTGAATTTACTGCATAGGAACCACCTGAAAACAGTCAAAACAGCATTTAAACATTGCCTGGCAGAGAAGGCAAGCCATTCTGCTACACCTGTTTCATCAAAATTTTGGCTGTCTTCCTGAAGAGCTATCACTTCTTGATACTAGAAAGTAATTAATCACATCATTATGGACTGATCTCTTACCACTATCTTGTACACAAATATTTCCAGTAAGACCAAGCACAGCTTGATTTGTGATTAATTTGTAAGTGGGCTTTCACTTCAAAAAAATAATTCAGATCATCTGAATCTAGAATTTATTCTTAACTTCAATGAAAACAATGAGTTTTGTGACAGAGCTGCTTAAAGTCCATCTTCCTCTGAAATAATGAGCTAATGGTTTCAGCATGAAGATTTCGTATAGGCTGCTTCACATGAAGCGATAACAAATATCTGCTATTTGCAGCTTTCTAATCTATTTTGATATCTTATCTTTGCTAGTGTGTTTGCTGCTAGATCCCTGCTAGATCTGCAAGGTCCTCAATTCCAGACAAAGCAAGACGATTTATGCTGTACTGAAGATGTTAAAATCTTCTCTGGGGAAAAAATACACGATGTGGATTAATTTAATCTGGCTCCTACTTCTTCAAAAATTTGAATTACAGTATAGTCATGACTTCACAAGCTTTGTTACAGATTACGTTATCTACTAAGCATTAAGCAGATTTCTCTTGTTGGGTACGCAATTGTTAAGGCTCAACATCTGTAAAGAATGAAACAGGTGTTCTAGCTGCACAGACATAACTGCTCTGAACTCTTTCAAAGATCCTCAAGTTCTGTATTCTGAACAGAAGATTAAAATAGTAACAAATGCCAAAATGGTTTCCTTGATAAACAGATATCAAACAGTACTTTAGTCTCTTCTGGAATTTAATTTTTGACATTCACTTTGCCAGAATATAAGGACAGACATCTTTTGAATAGCAATTTTCAAAATGGATGATGCAAAACTTAATGATCAGCTGCGTAAGAGCAAGGTTAACATGTTACTACAGCAAAAGGTAGAAAAAGTAGGTTTAATTCCAATATTTAAAATGCACTTCTTAAAAGACTGAATCCCCGAAACAGAAAACACTAACCACGTAACTAATATGTCTAGGTTACATCTGCAAATTTCCTGACAATTAAGAAGTCAGGAGATGCAGCATTTGGGCAGGAACCAGCAAAGTCAGATTCTATTCCAAAGCTGGTCACTGGGCTCACACAAACTATGTACCTTTTTGGTTGAAATTCTTCATCTGTCCTATGGGGACAGTCGTGCCCACCTTTTTCTGGACAGACTGAATGAAAAATGCCACTAGGTATTGCCAATACAATGTATTATAAATGTATGTCACAATCATAATTACAAAGGTTTTGATTCAAAGCAACCAATTACTTATCCAACCGTTAAGGAAAAAATTTATTAACAAACCAAGCATTATCATGTCTGACCTTCATTACTTCCTCAAGGAAGAAAAAAAGACAACAAATCTTACTTTTCAATTCCCTGAAATCTGGGAACAGGGAAATCCCATATAGATTCTAAACTCCATATTAAAATTAGTTATGCAGATCAATAATTGGATCTCTATTGATAAAAAAAAAATCAAATCCTTGCTGACTAAGCCTTTTTGCTTCAACCACATAATCAAACAATTTAAGGATACTTTATCAAGGAATGCAGATGTTACTTTAGGTACAGAAATTATACAGGCTAAACAGAAGGATTATCTTCCTTGACCATCTTTCAGTCCTCAGAATGATGAAATTTTTTTTGACAACTCTTTAGAAAATGCTTCTTAACCATAAAAATGCCCCCAACTATCAAGCTGATTCAGTGCGTATGAAGACATTCTTACTTAAATGTTTTCTAGAGGACCACCATTTATGTCATGGTTCTGTTTATGAAATAAAAGTTTGCATAATTCATAGCACATTTTCAGAACCATATATTCTCTTTTTAAAGACACATTGGTGACATACTATAGTTTGTTTATTATAGCAGTGTCATTTAACTAGCAGAACAGTAGAATACCTGCATTGCCAGGGAGTCTACAGACTGCATATTGTTACACATTGCTAATAATGAATGTGATATTTATAGGTATTTACAGCCTAAAGTATGTAAAGGCTCACCCTTCTGTTACTTTTAAACAGTTAGTAAGTGTTACATACTATGTAGGCTACCACTGTACATGATTGCGTGTAAAAAGGCAACAGGCATAACAGATGTACGAGGAATGTTTAAAAGTCATGTTAGAATGTTTTTATCTGGTATTTTAAACTTGAGCTACATCTCAAAGTTAGATGAGTTTCATTTTGGCAATAAGCATTTATTATCTGCTAAGCTGCTTCACCAGAAATAAAGTATTTACCATATACAATACATGTCCCCATTTTGAAGCTGTGGGACTAGGAACGATTCACATAGCTGTAAGGCTAAGGTAGTCTTCCCTTCTTTTTCAGTGTTGCAGATGATCTCAATTCCACTCTTGCAATCAGTCCTCAACAAGTGCTATACAATTAAAATAAAATCAATTTAGATAAATTTGCTAACATGAAATAAAAACCTATCAGACCTTGCTATATTAAAGCAGCTAATGAAAACTTCAGGAATTGCTACTAATATAGGATTTCTTTGGAACAGCTTTTGTGTAGGTCTGTAAATAGATATTCTGGAGATATTTAGAGCTCTCTCATTTCTTAGAATAATGACAATCAGAATAATTCTCTGAGAAATTAAAAGACTACACAAAAGCACTTTTTTGCACGATGGGAGCTTGTTCTTAAGAAAACGTTAAGAAAAGCATTGTTATCTAGTAAGTGCTATAAGTGGTAAAAGTAGGGCCACATTCGGCTAGAGTGTCATTTTACATACTGCGGCATCATTAAAAAACTTTAAGGCTAACAAGACTATATAATGTACAAAACACTGGACTTATCAATTAGGCTCAAGTGCTTTTGCTGGAGTAGTAGTCAATAGTAAAATAGTCAATACACTGAAGTTACAAAATATTAATGCCTCAAGTTATTTAGGGAATATATCTACAAGTAAACTTGACCAAAAAATTCCATTTAGGTCAACAAGATTTGCAGGCGCTTAACATTTAACTTTTCAAAGCTTAAGCCAGCACTAAGTTAAGCAACCCCAGTGTAGTTGTCTGATTTTATGACATTTGGTTCTACAAAAACAGAGTTCCATATGCTCCCCTCAACCACTTGTATACAGTAAGTATAATGTACCACTTCATTAAAAAAAATGTATACTGACAAACAATACCTCCTGGAATAGCTGATCTTCTAATGGTGACATATAAAGACAGGTGAAAAGAGCTTGATGGAAATACAGATCTTTACTGATATCTGGATGATTTATGCAAGATTTGATAAGAGCCATTGCCTCAGGGATGCGTTCACAGGCAATAAGGTATCTGGCACGTAGTTCAAAGAACAGTGGATTTTCAGAGCTTAAATATTTGTTAACTGTACAGAAAAGAAAGATTTAAAGGCAATTAGAATATGAAGTCCAAACAACAAATATATTTAAATGTAATGTTGTTTTTAATACTGCAATGTCAACAAATAATATAAAAAAGGCTCTGCTAAAGAAGCTATCATATATTAAATTAAATACCATCAAGAATCTGTCCTTCTGCTTGGAAACAGAAATTGTTATTTTTCTTACACCAGTAATCTAATTCAGTATTTTGTTTCTAACAGACCAACACAAGGTGCTGCAAAGGATTAGTAAAATATACACTATATAGAAGCAGATACGAACATTTCCGAGAAAGAAAATTCCCTCCTTTCTCAGCACTGGAATCTGGGTGATTGTCAGAAGTATAGGATCAACATCACTTCCAATGCTATAATTATAAATATTTAAAATAACTCAGGATACTCGTTACCCATTAAAATGGAAGAGCTCGGAGTGTTGAAAAAGTTAACTAGAATTCACATGCTGTTGCTTTAAGTAGCTTTGAACACCTTGCTTTTGCTTGGAGAAGTGGAAAAATATACTTTTTCTTCCTCTAAAAGTGCTACTGGGCATTCTAAGTCCCTAAATACCTTTATTTTCTAGGTCCTGATTTCTGGAAATCTGTTTTTCAGATGTAAAAGCTAATCTTAAACCTAACATTTGAATGAAACTGTTTCAACTGAGATACTCAAAATACTTAACATTTAAGTAATTGGGAAATTATGAAAGACATAGAAAACATGCTTTAGATCTCTATTATAAAAGATCACACAGATTCTAGTATCTCAGGATTAAAAGTTAAAGGGTACAAAGTGCAATAATGCTGCTTTTATTTTGAGAATTGTTTGCATCTTGTCAAGTAAATGCACACTCTGAGGTGTTAATAGTGTGTTAACATTTATGTAATGTATTGGACAATATGGCCTGATCTTCCTCTCGTATTCTCAACAGCTACCTTAACAGTTAAAACGCCACAATTTCTAGTGCATACCCTGTAGTACTGTACAGTGTTTCATATTTTAAGAAAAAAGAAAAGGCATTGTCATTTGAAAGTCAATGAAGGCTGGAAGTGAGCATGGGAATTTTATACCTTAGAAGGAACCTGTATTAAGAAAGTTACAAGCAACTTAAAGTGACACTTAAAATGATTAAAAAAATAGAAGTGGTTACTGAAAACCACAATCTGAACAGCTAAGAGAATTTTTTTTTCCAAAATAAAAAGACTACTTGTATAACAAGCTTTCACTTAAACTTTTATTATTAAAGGACGCTTGGTTTGAAAGACATTCCTTATGCTCATAAACAGGATTTCTCTAGCATCTTTATTTTTATGCAAGCTAATGGTATTATATGCCAGTGAACATTTAAGGAATATTATTCAAGGTGATATAAAGTTTTAGATGAGATTTGTTAATAGATGTACTGTAAAGGTCCACCATAAGAGATGATCTCATTCCCGCTATCCATTAGCACTTCAGGGTGCAAACTTAGTCAAGAAAACAACTGAAAGAAAAGCCAGTGTGTAACAGCGGTCATTAACTGCAAGAAAAAGTGATCATATGGAACAATCCTTAAAGCCAAGTAAAGGCCTCTCCTTTTTTGAATTAACATATGATAACAGACCCAATCATCAGTTTCATATGCAAACATTACCCAACAGATTACTGAATATTCACACTGAAAAATTAGGCCAGAAAAACTTAGCTTTTGTTATGTGCTAATGTTAAGAAAATGCTGCACGTGTAACAACTGGCTGTAACACCCTTTTCCCTCAAAGGAGGGAAGATTGCAGCCCACAATACAGGTTAACTTGTCATATCATTCCCACTTTCTGTGTGGGGAACTCTTGGGTCAGTATGACCCTCTGCTCCATAAGTGAGAATTCCACTTCTGACAGCTCGAGCTTCCAGGGAAGGGGGTCTCCTACACCCTCTCCAACACTGTTTTTAAACAGACTGTGAGTTCCAGCTACACCACTGGCAGGATTATGCTCCCTCCCTGTAGTGGAATGCCCCTCTTTTCGCAAGGCAGCAAGTTTGCTCTTCTAACCCCCCAAGCAAAAGACCACCGCTAACTATAGTAGCATTTAGCCAAGTCTGTGATACATTAAAAATGGCCTGGGGAAAACAACATCTATTCTTGTCCAGGCAGCATGTGCAGTGCTTTGCTTTAGAGTGATAGATGCCAACCATCAGCTTAGAAACTAATTAACTGCTTACATCTGAGTGTACCTCTGTCTACAATACTCTTCTAGATGTTCACAGTAGGGTGCCTTACTCACCCTAATCTACTAGAAGTTTATTGCTCCTACATTTCAACCCTGCTATTTTTCTTTAAACCTAAAGACGGCCTTCCTTTCCAGCCATCTCAAAATAGACTGCAACATCTCAAAAGTATACTACAATTCATGTAAAGACAGACACAGTGAAGTTTGTCTTGGCCTAAGCTTCTCTGTGTAATTAATGAATCCAAGACAGGATTATTTAGTTCACACAGTACGTATTTATCAAACTGACTTGTGCAAGTAATGGCTGGCGATTCAGCAATAATAGGCAGTTTTCCTCATTTAAAATAGTGATCCCTGATGGAACTATATGGCCAAGTTTCAAAATATACACCAAATGCTGCCAGCCTATAAAGCAGCACAGAATGTTTGCTTTGTCTAAGACTTCACAAGAATCGGATTTCAGAGGAAGTGAGACAAGAAAGAAAAAAGCTTCCAAAAGATATTATCTAAAATAAAATGTTTGTCATCACTGAGGAGATATGTCAAGGGGGTGTGTGGGGATATCAGAAGATAAAAGGAGGAAGAATACCTCGGCAAAGGGGAAGGAGATGTGGCCTGCAACAAAAGGAAACAAAATGATCGTCTAGTGACAACAGGCAGTCTCATTCCTACTCTGCCAGGTTAAAACTAAGTAAAAATCCTCAAACTGTTACCCATCATATAGAGGCTTCATGATGATCAGGGGAATCATTAAGGCAAAGGACTAAACTAATTCTTTGCTGGAGAGATGGAGATTGAGACCTAAGTTCAGAACATAACCACCAAAATTGCTAGAGTTTGTCATGTGATGCAGAACAAAACAAGGATAACCTTTGTTTTTGTAGGTATTTCACCAGAAGTTTATCAGATATATAATAATAATCATGGGTAAACTATGTTGCTCAAGTGCTTGCTTCACAAGAGAGACAAACAACAGAGACTACCCACTTAATCACATTAATTTGCTGTCAAAATACTTTCTCTGGTTAAGGAGGCAGCTCACTGAGCTGTTCTGACTTTATAGTCCTCTTCCTATCTCTGCAGAATGAACACATTGTCATAAACACAGCAATGAATTTGAATCGTGCATTACACCGTAGTAACTAGAGAAGAACTAGTATTTTCTATCACTATCAAATGGAAACAATTTTTAAGAGGTTCTCTGTGAAGATGGCTAGCAAATATGTCACATAAGCTGTTAGTAAAGACTTTACTGTAGATTGGGTATTTTCCCCTAATGAACTTTCATTAACATTCTGGTAATGTTTGCTTCCACACACTGTTAAAAATGCTGGTTTACTTTGCAGCCTGAACAGAAATCTTTCTCCTACTCCCAACTCTAGAAATTACATATACATAATCAGGGAGCACCTATCAGGTGTAGTCACAGGCCTCATTCTAAACAGAACCAAGAAAAGCCACAAGCCTGAGTATTTACAATTTAAAAGAAAAATTAAATGAGTCAGAGTACCAAGAGACAGAAATAAACATCAGGTCCTCCCCTGATCATGTTACCTCAGTAGCCAAACTGAAGTCAAGTCACTCTCCATGAACACCTGGATTTGGTAAATTCATTTTAGAAGAGGCTACTGAGCAGTTACTTATATCTGAATAATCTGATTCTTTACACTATAAAAGTAGACTTAAACTATTAGCAAAAATATTTAGTTTTCTTTCAAATGAAAAGGAGACCGGTACATTTTACTACAGAAAAGTAGTTAAATTGTGTGCAATGCCAGCTGACAACACCTGACCCTAATATCAAAAAAGCATAGTTTAACACATTTTTCAGTACTCTAAAAAAATTAACGTGGTAAATGAAATACCTAATTCCTGTGATACAGGCTTTGCTTTAAGAATTGCTTGTAATACTGGATCTTCCCATGGTCCACCGTCTCTGATGATGCGAGTCACTAGTTCCAGGTTCATATTTCTGTATCTATTTAGAAGGTTCTGACATTCCTATAAGTAAAAATAAAAACAATTAAAAGAAGAAAAAAAGGGTTGTCCAAAAATAAAGTTAGGCCATCCAAAAGATAAGAAACAACAAAACTCATGCAATGTTTAAATATTTCCCTCAGTCAACAATTCGAGCTACAAAGTCTTTTATTAAGCAGGCCTACACAAAGACCTAAAACAACTACTCATATTCTCTAAAAACAGTAATACAGAACTGTGGAAGTCAGAATGCTCGCATCTTCTATAGGCATGCAGCAAGAGCCTGTCATTTGCATAACAATGCAAAACCGCCTTTCCTTGAATTAGAGATATTACTGGCATACTCTGTGGGAGAAGTCTTCACCCCATGTTTGTCTGCACAGATTTAGACATGTTGATGCTGGATTTGTGATCCAGTGATGGTGTCTGAATTCTACAAGGGAAAAACTGGATTAAGCCATGTGAGTCACCAGCCCTCAAGCAACCATTTTTCTTCAAATCTCTACATAACAGAACTTATGCTTGCCTAAAGTAATCTGGAATGTTTTAGCCGCTCATGATTTTCACATATACCAAGGTCCCCCCCTGCTTGTTATTTGCTGGTAAAAATGTCAACACTAATGTTAATCAACAGTAGAATTTTAATCAGAATGTATCTAGTTTTGAAACAAAAAGATGTAGCTGAAGAATGGCTTCTATGCACATACAATGAACTTCACATTTGCTTTTTGGCTGTAAATTCTTTTAGCTTTAACTCATTTTTATTCCTTTTATATGCAGGTGAATGTGTTTGATGGTAAAAAATGGTTAAGTAACTGAAACAATGGTTTTCACTACCAGTTTGATTACACAACTGATTCAGAAATTCTTTATCTAGAAAATTATGTGAAGATATATTTTAATACATCGATTGTTTAGAAGTCAAGGCAATTGAGAATTGCAATACAAAAGCACAGAGGAGAAAGTATTATACATCACACTTTTTCCTAAATTCTTTCTTGTTCATAGACTGTTTTTGAAAAGCACTTATTGCAGGACTGCCAAAATGTCCCATTACGCTTATGCAAGAGACCCTACCCATTCCTGAGGCTGCTAAGCCACTCCTTGACCCCATTCTTCCAGCAATTCTACTCAAACACGTAATTGCTGCTGGTTTGATAATTAAGGTAAGTAGTGTCAACACATTAATTTGTAGCAGCAGTAACAAACAGGTATCAACATAAAAAATAACAAGGGGATAGCTATTTTTCATTGCATGATTAGTATTAACAGAAGAAACACCCCTGGTTTTCATCCTTTAAACAAAGTTTCCTCTGATGGTTGCACAAGGGCTTGTGTTCCCATGCAGTGAACTCAACTCTCAAAATCAGTTCAGGTCAAAAAGACTGATTTTTTTAATCTGGAAAAAAAAAAAGGTAAGCTTTTAAAACGAGGATCATTTATCTTATGCAGTTGTATGTAGCTATACAAAATCTTGTCCCAGTCTAGCCAAGAGTACACCAATTTTAAATAATGCAAGTTTATGCTGACCTGAAGAGTTCATTAAGATAGAGCTTTAATTTCAAATTTACTGTTTAAAACTGCAAACAGAAACTTGAGGTTTCATGTCATGAACTGGTATGCAACACTGGATGACATTAAGTTCTAATTAGATACAAACAAGCAAAGCTTCCCTCTCGTATATGGGAAAAGCACAAAATATTTCTTTAACAAGACTGGTACTACAAATGAAGAGAAGTACATTTTACTTAGTCCAAGCAGATTCAAATAGCAATACTGATGATATTAAGTAAGAATAAATGGATTTCCCTTCAAATACCCCTTTTTCATTTTTTTTCTCCTTTGGTTATAAATGTAAGCAAGGCAGCTACCTTCTT